CCCCCCCCCAAAAAAAAAAAAAAGATTTAGCATTAATTTGTAGTTCTGTTGATGTACTTAATTGTTAATGTTCTGAATTGATTTATATTACATTGGAGATTTTAGATATTGTCCTTTAGATAATAATCTAATGTATATTCAAATTGTGATTCAAAAGAGGAGTATCAGAAATATGTAATTGATGTCACATTTTGAATATTTGTTACAGGGTATCAATCATGTGCCATTAGAGACGTTGTACTACTTTTCTATTTTATAGTTAATTTATTCATTTTGCTGGTCTTTAAGTTTTGTGGACTAATTAAAAGTAGAAATGCTAAGGGTTCAGTGTCAGCAGAATCTTCAGTAATAGCACCATGATACTGGGATGGGAGCACTGTGCTTTTGACTGGTTTTCAATAAGTCAGACACATGATTCATCATACCACTGTTCCTCATGTTTTCAGATACAGTATTAAATGTACTTTGTTAATCTTTTGAACAGCTTTTTTACAGGGTTACCGATGAAAATGCCAAAAATAGTGAACTTCACCTTGTTGGTGTGATCTGCTATACCAGCCGACATTATTGTGCCTTTGCCTTTCATACTAAGAGTTCCAAGTGGGTGTTTTTTGATGATGCAAATGTGAAAGAGGCAAGTGAAACTTCATTAACTGAAACAATCATTGTAACTTTTCTTTGTTCTTTAGGAATAAATGATATGCTAATAGAAGAAATGATACAACTATATAAAGCTGCAATGAATGTAAAGATAAAATAGCCTCATTAAATCACAGGTTTTATTTTTGAAATTTGACTTCTTTTGAAGCCATTTTTAAGGCAAATCCATTTCTAGAATTGTTTTTGGGGGGCAGGAAACAGTGCTAGGGATTGAACCCAGGGCCTCACATAAGCTAGGTATACACTACTGAGCTATATCCCAAAGCTAGAATAAAGAAAATGACTAAAAAGTGCATCACTATAACTATCAGTGATATTCCCTGTGTTCTGATCACTGTGACTCTCTACAAGTCCTTGTAGATGATTCACAGTTGCTTTGTGTAAGCAATGATGAAAACATGCTTTTTTTTTAATGTACCTTTTTTTCAAAAGATAAAACTTACATGTGCTATAAGAAATTAAATATATATGTTTTATCTTAAACTTTTTACAACCATTTTTATATTGTAAAGAAAACTATTAATTTATTGATTTTTTATGGCACTGACATTCAGACTTGGAGTCTTGCACTTTGCTTGAATTACCTAGTGCTTTGGTGTAGGAATTTTTTTTGAGGGGAGGGGGGGTCCAGTCGTGGGGCCTGAACTCTGGGCCTGGGTGCTGTCCCTCAGCTCTTCAGCTCAAGGCTAGCGCTCTACCACTTGAGCCACAGTGCCACTTCCAGCTTTTTTTTTTTTGCTTATGTGGTGCTGAGGAATTGAACCCAGAACCTCACACATGCAAGGCAAGCACTCTACCACTGAGCCACCTTCCCAGCCCCTGGTGTAGGATTTTTTTTGGGGGGGGGTCCGGTTGTGGGGCCTGAACTTTGGGTTTGGGCGCTGTCCCTCAGCTCAAGGCTAGCACTCTACCACTTGAGCTACAGCGCCACTTCCGGCTCTTTTCTTTTTGCTTATGTGGTGCTGAGGAATCGAACCCAGGGCCTCAGGCATGCAAGGCAAGCGCTCTACCACTGAGCCACCTTCCCAGCCCCTGGTGTAGGAATTTTTTGAGAAGTCCTTTCTTAAGTTCACAGGCAGCAAGGTTTTAGAGCTCATACTTTGTCTGTATTTACATAGTTTAAATTGTCAAAATTTGGAAGAGGAATTAAGCATGTTAATCTGTGAGATTTTTTTTTGTTTGTTTGCCAATTGGTATATTGTCAGAGTTCTAGGCAAAGAAGGTAAATAACCCATATGTGTAGTTTAGAAAAGATTCTTGGGAGTTTTTAAAAAAGGTATTTCCTTGCAGAAATCACCATGTTAGAAGGTTATGTGTTATCTGATTGGCTAGTTGGTTTTGTTTTTATTTTTAAGTCAATTTTAAAAAGGTATAATTTTGAAACATTAAAATGTACCATTTTGAGTTTCAATGAATATATACATGTAAATAACTACCATAATTAGTATGTAAACTTTTTTATTAGCATTGCTGGGGTGGAACTCAAAAGCACACATGTTAGGCAAACATTCCAACACAGAGCTACACCCAGTCCTATATAGAGAATATTCTACAATCTTAGAAAAATTGTCTCCTGTGCTTGTGTTATAAGGTCTCCCTTCTTACCTGAGCCAAGCAAATCACTGGTACTGCTATTTTGCTTCCTCAACACAATATCCATTTTTATTGTTACTTCACGTTATAGCAGTAAATATTTATCCCTTCATCTATTGAGGTTAAAAAAAAAACATTTTTTTATTGCTCTTCTAGTACTCAGATTGTGGTAAGGGATGTTCAACTTTGCAGGGAATGGCCAAATTCAAATTCATTTTCAGAGTAGTACTCATTTACCTCCCTACCATCAGAGTGTGAGAATTCCTATTATCCCACATACTCAGCAGCATTCCATGTCTACAGTCTTTTCACTTCTACCTCTGGTAGTGGATGTGTTCTAAGATCTCACTGTGGTTTTGCTTTTCCTTTACACGTCATATACTTTTTGCAAGCATTTTTTTGAATGTGCATGTTGGCCATTATTGGTGTGTGTGTTTTGTGTGTGTATGTATAGTCAGATGTTTATCTAGTGTTGTAAATTGAATTCTCTTCTTATTTATAACTTGTAGCAATTCTTTATTTTGTTCACTATTCCTTTACCACATCTGTGTTGCTTATTTAGAACTATCATGAGATGATAAGCAAAACCCCATCATCCTCTTCCTTTCCATTAGGAGAGACTTGTGAATCATCTTTGCAGATGTTTTAAATACTGTAGACAAATTACTTAAAACTTAGGGAGTCAAACATCACTTAAGGCTTTCTATATACTGCTTTGTAATGCACTTAGAATTCACCTTTTAGTTATTGATTGAGCAAAGTTATTGATTAATTTTGAAGAAATTCATGAGTTAATTTTTCTTCTACAGTTTGTTTGGTATCCTTAGAAATTTTGCCTTCTCCAAAGTTGAAAGATTTTCTTCTATATATTTTTATAGTTTTTAATGTAAGACTCATTTTGAGTTAATTTTTATGTTTCATAGGTAATGAGGAGAAAGTTATTTTTCTATTTTAGCTCTCCAGTTTTTCCAGCAACATTGTTATAGATTCTTACATTTCTTCACTGAATTGTTCTTGAATCTCTGTCAAGAGATTCAACCAAGTATGTAGAACACTTTTTTAAAAATTCTGTAATTAATCTCCTTACAGGAAGACTTAGCATTTTTGCCCATCACTTTTTAAAGTTGTAACAATATGTGAATAAGATTGTTTTTAGACTAGTTATTAAGTAAAAGTAACCATGTAATATGATAGTTGAACAGCTTGCATCTTGGTATTTAAAAATACTGAAATTCAGGTTAATTTGGTCTGTACAGTACATTGATTACCAGATTTTCACTTGTTTTTATTCATTGTGATTTTTTGTTTGTTTTAAGGTGGGAACTAAATGGAAAGATGTGGTCTCCAAGTGTGTCCGATGTCACTTCCAGCCTCTGCTTTTGTTTTATGCAAATCCAGATGGCACAGCTGTCTCTACCGAGGATGCGCTCAGGCAGATTGTCCACTGGTCACATTACAAATCTGTGGCAGAAAATATCGGTAATTGTTTTGTGTTTTTTTTCCCCTGTTATTAAAATCAACTGGGAGTTGTTAAACTGAATATAAAAGTCAATGCTGAGAAAAAAAATTAAAATAAAAAATAATAATTTTGGCAAAGTGGAATTCAGGAAGATTTTGCAGTAATGTTTGGTGGCCTGAGAAGCACCTTTCATAGTCACATAGCACCAAAGATGCTGCTTGTCTGGTAACTCTTTTCAACAGTAAGCTTTGAGATTTTAAAATGGTTTAGTAAACTGTAAAAGTCTGAAGCAGCCAGGCTAATGCTGGGTGCATTACAAGCAGCATGTAGAAAGCTTTAAGTGATGTCTGACCCCCAAGTTGTAAGTAATTTGTCTATGTATTTAAAACATCTGCAAAGATGACTCACAGGTCTCACCTAATAGAAAGGAAGAGGATGATGTGGTTTTGCTTATCATCTTTTTAAGGATTTGAAAAGTCTGCAGTTTATAAAGCCGATAATTCCAAAGAAAATGGATTCAGTGATCAAGCAAAACAGAAGGAAAATCAAAAACTTCAAACCAATAACCTTCCATCATTCAGTCGGAACCACATTCAGACAAGTGGAGGGAGAGGACCGGGTTTGTATTTAAATTACTATTTACATTGTCCTTAAGCAGTGCTTTTTCTGTAGTTACTAAACCCAAACTTGTATGGGTCAGACCCATACAAAAGGAGGATGTTTAACTAGCTTTTCTTGATACCAGGAAAAGAAAATGATCTGTTTTTTGTGCCAGTCCTTGGGCTTGAATTTGGGGCCTGGGTGCTGTCCCGGAGTTTTTTTTGCTTAAGCCATGGATCCACTGTCAGCTCTTCTTTTCTTTTCCTTCCTTCCTTCCTTCTTTCCTTCCTTCCTTCCTTCCTTCTTTCCTTCCTTTCTTCCTTCCTTCCTTCCTTCCTTCCTTCCTTTCTTTCTTTTTCTCTCTCTCTCTCTCTCTTTTCTTCTTTTCTTTTCTTTCATTTTTGGTGTTTAATTGGTGATAAAAGTCTCATGAACTTTCCTGCCTGGATTGGCTTTAAACTGAGATAGTTAGACCTCAGCCTCCTTGAGTAGCTAGGATTACAGGCTTGAGCCACTGGTACCTGAGAAAATAGTCTTTTGATGAATGTGATTCAGTGAGAGTTGACTAATGGGATTTGACAAGTTGACTTTCTTTGTGCACTCTGACCTGTTGTAGGACTTATGCTATGTGTTGATTGTTGCCAAAGAAAGCTATAATGGATTTTCCTTTGGGAAGTTAATAATCAACTTAGAAAAACATGTTAATAAATTTGGCTTATGTGCCAAAATTCATCTTTCATGAGTACACCAGTAATTGGTTCAAAATTGCTTTACCTATAGTTTGTTCTTAACCTTTTTATTCAACTCCTGTTACCGTCATCCCATGACTTTCTAACGTTCACAAGTCACAACGTGAGATATCTTAGTACTGTGGGTATTATGGTTCAAAAATATACAAAACTCATAATCGTGTAGGTGTTCAAGATAACTTACCAGCAATTTTTTAAAATGGTACTTAGATGATATCTAACCATAAAGTAATCTGCTTAGTCAAGAACATTAAGAGCCAGCCAGAATTAACAATTATTAACAAAGAACTGCAATAAAGATTTACATTAGTGCTGAGTTGTAGCTCAGATAGCTCATTGAAGAGTACTTATCTAACATCCACAATGTCACAGTCACTAGCACTGTAGAGAAAGAGAAAAAAAATTCATGAAATGCTGTATTTTGTTTTTTTCTGTCTTATATAAGAGCTGTTAATACTGTCATTCGATTAAGAAATTTTGTATTTGTCAGAGATGCTTACTTTTAAATACAGAAGCAATATTTATGCTTTGGAACAAGAGAGCTGGCTTCATTTGCCCAGTTCTACATTTAGAAGCAGTGTATACTTGAGCTTGTTTCTAAAGCCCCAGTTTCCTTACCTGAAGTATAAATAATCATTGTACCCATCTTAGAGACAGTGGCAACAGTGGTTGGTAAATAGCAACCATGCAGTGACTCTTACCTCTTACTGCTTTGGCAGCAGGGTTCTTTCTGTTCCCAACATGCTTTAGGGATTAACAACAACAACATTCCCAGTGCAAGGAAAACACCATATTGAGATCTAGTACACATTAAAAGAAGTTCATTATATACTTTATGTTGCTTTTTAAAATTATAGAGATATTCTACACCCTTGTATGAATAATTTTTTTTAACAGTTAAATTAAGCCACAGTGACCAGAGGGAAAAGATAAAGGACATTTCCAGAGAATGTGCTCTGAAAGCCATTGAACAGAAGAATTTACTTTCTTCACAAAGGAAAGATTTAGAAAAGGGACAAAGGAAAGATGTAGGCCGACACCGAGGTAAGTTCAGAGCATTTACTTGAAATTCATGTTTTTCATGGAGTTTTATAGCTTTAATGTAATTAAATGTTATATTTTATGTACTTACACCTTTCTCAATGTTGTTTCTTCAATACACTTACAATAAATCGAAAAATATAGATTTATTAGAAAGATTTGTTGGATAGATTTTTATTAGATAAATTAGATAAATGTTTTAGATTTATTAGTTTTTTAGATAAAATAAATTTAAAATAAATATAATAAATGTAAACAATTGCCAGGTTCCCACTTAATTCTAACCTGGGATACTAGTGTGTGCATTTTGATATTTTCACTTACCTTTCATTTATTAATACAGTGGGTTCATCTGGTCTACCCAGGTTCATTCCTGGGTATAGAAGGAAGTGATGAGCTTCTTTCCATTCAGCTTCTGACTTTCCCTAACACGGAGCTTCTCAATGTATCCTAAAAATGAACTTTTTATAGTTTCCTGCTTTTTTATGGAGATGGTGTAACTGATCTCGTAGCCTTTACACACTCACCTAATATTTTTGCTGCAAGGATACCTTTCACATACACCTCTGAATATTTTTTTTCTATGTACAAGAATAGCATAAAACTCTTTCAGAGAACTTACTGTTCAGGGCTTGTTTATTGCTACTTTTGATTTAGGTCTGAAAGACTAGATGAGCCTGTCCCACCACCGTGACCGTAGGACTACTTCAGCACTAACTGGACTTAGCAAACTGAAATCTTTAACAACCTAAAACATGAACACGTGATATGTACAGGGATTTTGTTAGTTATGAATGAGATAACATGTTTATTTAAAAAAAACACTTTCAGGGCTGGGTAGAGCGCTTGCCTTGCAGGCATGCGGCCCTGGGTTCGATTCCTCAGCACCACATAAGCAAAAAGAAAAAAGCCGGAAGTATCGCTATGGCTCAAATGGTAGAGTGCTAGCCTTGAGCTGAAGAGCTGAGGGACAGCACCCAGGCCCAGAGTTTAGGCCCCATGACCGGACCCCCAAAACATAATACTTTCAGAGATAAACTTATACCTTAGAGATGCTTTTTAAAAGTCCATTTCATTTATAAAGGCCTCTAATTAAGTGTAAGTAGGGACAGATAAAACACTTTTCAAAATCAAGACAGTACTTGATACAATTTAAAAATTTTTTTTTGCCCAGTAAAAAAATTTTTTTTTTCAAGCCTAGTACTGGGCCTTGAACTCAGGACCCTACCCTGCCCCTTAACTTTCTTTTCTCAAAGCTAGTGCTTCTACCATTTAAGCCAAACCTATACTTCTAATTTTATGGTAGTTAATTGGAGGTAAGCGTCTCATAGGCTTTCTTGCCTGGGTTGGCTTTGAGCCTTGGTCCCCAGATCGCAGCCTTCTGAGTAAGTAGGATAACAGATCTGAGCTACCAGCACCCAGCACAATTTAGTTGTTTTTTTTTGTTATTATTGTTTACCTATGCTACTTAGCATTTCTTCTTACACAAGTTGTTCAACTTATGACTACCAGGTTGCTCTGAGGAGTGGTTCTATTGTATCTTTAATTATTATTATTGCTGTTTTTAAGATTTGATGGATGAAGACCTCTCACACTTGAAGTCTGGATCACCTTCTGCCCCAAATGGTTTCAGGCAATGTGGGAATCCACATCTTTATCATAGTCAAGGAAAAGGACCCATCAAACATGACCGGGTTGCACACCAAAGTCGAGCTTCTGGACAAACAAGTTCAGGCAAATCCCACATTCTTAATCCAGGAGAGAAAATACTAGGCCGTGTTAAGAGTGACAGTGCCACTGGATATGACACAGACAGCAGCCAAGATTCCAGGGAGAAAGGAAGCAGCTTCAGTAGCAGTAAAAGCCGGAACCGAGGTTGGAAACCTATGAGGGAAACGTTAAATGTCGATAGTGTTTTTAGTGAGAGTGAGAAGAGGCAGCATAGCCCAAGACACAAGGCATGTCTCACCAACAAACCTAAATGTGGCAAAGATCAGAGTTTGAATAACTGGCCCAAAGAAAATCCGAAGCAGAAAAGCTTAATGACCATATATGAAGATGAAATAAAGCAAGAAATAGGAAGCAGAACTTCCCTTGAGTCAAATGGGAAAGCAGAGAAAGCAAAAGGCCTCGTGGAGGGTAAAGGTCATGGTGACAATTGGCAGATGCAAAGGACGGAGTCTGGATATGAAAGCAGTGACCATATCAGTAACGGGTCTGCGAACTTGGACTCACCCGTCATCGAGGGAAGTGGTACAGGAATGGATACGAGCAGTAGTAAAGAATTGGCATCTTCCAGGTAATACATACTCAGCATCCTCTGCCTAACTGAAGTAATCTTTAACTTATGTATAATGGAAACATCATGAGCTTAGAGTAAAGAAACATGGAGGTTGTAGTTTATTCAATATTTCAGATATCCTGTTTTTGTTGTTGTTGTTTTTAAATCAGTTCTGGCTGGCGCTGGGAAGTTGGCTCAGGGGTAGAGTGCTTGCCTTGCATGCATGAGGCCCTGGATTTGATTCCTCAGCACCATATAAGCAGAAAAAGCCTAAGTGATACTGTGTCTCAAGTGGTAGAGCACTAGCCTTGAGCTGAAGAGCTGAGGGACAGCGCTCAGGCCCAGAGTTCAGGCCCCACAGCAGACCAAAAAAAAAAAAAAATCCTTGGGTGTTTTTGCTCAAGTTAATGCTCTACCACTTTGAGGCGCAGCTCCCCTTTTGGTTTTCTTGTGGTTATGTGGAGATGAGTCTCATGGAGTTTCCTGCCCAAGATGACTTTGAAATGCAATTCACAGATCTCAGCCTCCTGAATAGTTAGAATTAACAAGTGTGAGCCACCAGCACCTGTCCTGTTCCCTGACTCTTAGCAGTAGCAACTGGTTTAATTTCTTCAGAAATTTGAAAAGAACAGGGGCATATTGCCATGGTTTCCATAAGTATCAGCCATTGATTTCTATTCCAGGTTTGAAAGTGTAGACATATATCTCATATCAGTTTTCTGCAATCTGTGTGATTCATGATCTTAGATTTGTGTCCTATTTTGTATCTTAATATTAAGTTTATTACCTATGGTCACCATCCAGTTCTGTGGAAGAGATAGTGTTCTAAATATTTAGCAAAAACAGAAGAATTCAAATGACTAAGTTTGTATTCAGTTAATTCCGAATATGTGAACTCATATTACTGTTTGCAATAATTTTTGACTTCTGTGTGATCTCTAAAATATGTGCACAGCATACTAACCAATTTCCTCAGTCAATCTTACCACTTTTTAAACTCTTAGTCCTCCTAAAATATTTTAACTTGATATTAGTTGATTCTTGACCCCATTCATTTTTATAAAGCTAGATTTGCAAAAGAGAGCTGGTCATATTTTATTCAAACTAGTTTCCATAAAGAATTAAAGAAGCTTTTTTTTTGGCAGTGTAATCTCATCACACTTCTTTTTTTAAAAAATATTTTTATTGTAAGATACTGTACAGAGGGGTTAAATTTACATGAGCAAGATAATGAGTCCATTTCTTATCAAGCATTGCTACCCCCTCCTTTGTTTATCCCCTGCCCTCCCTTCCCTTCTGCTTCCCCAAAACTCATCACACTTCTTAAAAGCAAGTAGCCTACAGTTATAGAAAGAACAGGACTTTGTAAACAAATAGATTTGAATTTTAATTATTGGGCAAATAAATTTGACTTTCAATGTTTTACTCTCGTATTGTGAGGTGAGGATCAAATCTACTTTTAAGTATTGTGAGATATAAATTTAGATATAGTAAACTGTAAACAGATATTATTTCCCTTCACTTAGAATAAGACAGTCCATAATAGCTAATGTGTTTCTATGTGTTTTCTTTTAATTTCTAGTGATCGAGTTAGGATGAATAACTTGAGTACAGGACTTGGGGACTATACCTCCCATCCCAGCAAAAACCACTCAGAAGGTAAATATTCTATTCTAAATATGCTATAATAATTGCTAGTAAGAAATGAGTTACAGGGGCTTGAAGGTGGCTCAGTGGTAGAGCGCTTGCCTTGCATGCATGAAGCCCTGGGTTCAAGTTCTCAGCACCACATAAGCAGAAAAAGCCAGAAGTGGCGCTGTGGCTCAAGTGGTAGATTGCTAGCCTTGAGCTGAAGAACTGAGGGACAGCA